ACTTTGGGTAACGCAGGTGTTCTTCGACTGCAGGAGTCTTCACCAGCACCTGTGCTGCCCAAGGTTTCTGGGATTTGCAGTCCAAGAACATCTGAGTCACCCAAAGTTGGGAACTAACTCACTCTTGACCTTTCTCTCCAAAGGTCTGGAGAGAAAGGTCAGACAGGGACAGAGGTGGCAGCAAATCTTTAAGCTTAGAGGAAAGCCCTGGCACACTGCAGTGCACAGCCCCATTTCCTCCAAAGCGATTCCATACTCACATGGGGGCTCTGGGACAATGCATACAGTGGGTACTACTGCAGCCATGTTCTGCAATGGGGCAACAGTGTCTGAATGTCTGGGAAAGAAGATGCTGCGGCAGTGACATTGGGAAGCTGTCCAGGTTGCAGGGACCTAGACCCATGCCCAGTGCTCCGGCTTTAATGGTCATGAGACAGTGCCTCTTAAATCCTGACCTTCCAGGAGAATGGAAAGAGCTCATTGTGTGGTTTCTCTCCATGCCAGCCCCATCCGAGTTTCTGGAAAGAGTGATGATGGCAGAGAGGAAAACGTCAGAAGGGTGGAGCCATGCAGGGAAAGAGCATTTTACAGTAGAATGGATTACCTTGGAAGGTTGAATGGCCATCTGCCAGGGATCCTTAACTGTGGATTTCTAAATTGGCAGGAGGCTGGATTATATGACCCATAGGATCTCTTCCAAATCTATAGTTCTATGAGCCTGGGCTCCTTTCCTAAGAGCTGGCATTTCTGATTATATGGAAAGAACCCACTTGGTGCCAGTAGCGTTACATGAAAAGAGTCTTCATCCTGCTGGAAACTATCTTGATATGCCTGTTTTCTATGGCCAGTTGATTTTCTTGTTGCTTACATTGATGCTTGAGTTGAGTTCTCCCACTTACCTAATTACTCAAAGTTGCCTACAAAAAAAATGGAAAACCCAGTTACCCTTGCCACATGAAAGGTCTAGTGATATAATCCTGTGCACGTATACTAACAGGTGTGCTGTTGAGTCCTGTAGAGTTCAGTGAGTTCAATTAGTTGCAGAGTTCAATTAGTTGCAGAGGAGTGTACACAGGCCTGCAGTTTAACCATGGACTTCCCTACATACATAGGAAGTTGCTTTATGCTGAGTTAGAACATAACTGACCAGATAGGCGGGATATAAATTAAATAAATAAATAATAAATAAACATTCGTTCATATAACCCGGTACAGTATTGTCAGCTCTGACTGGCAGTGGCATGTCAGGGTTTCAGACTGGATTCTTTGATGGTTTTGAATTTCTCAGGTTTCAGACGGGCTCCTCTTTCCTGCCCTTCTGCCAGCAGCAAAAGGTCTTTCTCTTCAGGCAGATATTTGCCAGGTAAGTAGATGCCAAGGGAAGGATGTTGATGAGGAAATGGTGTACATTTTTGAAAATTTCTTTTTTAAATTAAACTTTTAAAAAATGTTTATTTAAGTTGTAGTAAATTGTTTTACACAGTTCTTGTTTTAAGATGTAACACGTTTAATTGTTTTATGATATCGTAATTTATTTTATTTTAACCACATTTGTCTTTTTTAAAAAAAATCATAAGCCACATTGAGTCACTTTTGGGGAAATACAGTAGATAGAAGGAATGATTGATATCTAAGGTATGTCCTGAATGGTCTCCCATTCAAGTCCTCACCAGGCCTGACCTTTTTAAACTTCCAGAAGCAGATGGCATCAGGTGTGTCCAGGTGGAGCAGTGGTCCGTGTATCTATTTTTAAATAAATCCCATTTAGTTTGGTGGAACTCAAAGTGGATAAAGGATCATTGCCTCAATCTCTTGGAATCAATTGAAATGGAACCAATCACCCTGAGAGGCGGTGAGTGCTCCAGCACTGGAGGCATTCAAGAAAATTTGGATGACCATCTGGCAGAACTCCTTTAGTTTGTATTCCTGCCTTGAAGGGGGGGGGAATTGGACTTGATGGCCTTATAGGCCCCTTCCAACTTCATGATTCTATGATTCTGTGATTCTATGATTCTTCTCTCAATCTCCACTCAAAGGGAACCTTGTTCAAAACAAGGCCTTCTGGCAACCTTCATACCCTTCCTTCCTAAATCTCCATTCGGTGGCCCGCATAGCAATGATAATCCATTCCAAAAAAATGGTTGCTATCCGGATTCGTCACTATGCGGGGCAAAAAAGCCCATAGGAATGCATTAAAACACGTTTAATGCGTTCCTATGGGCTGTAAACTCACCGCTATGCGGAAATCCTCCATGCAGCCACCATTTTCGCTGCCCGGTAAGCGAGGAAAGGAAAGAGCACAAAAATGTTGCGGGCAGCCATTTTCTTCACCCAGCGGCCATTTTGGAACCGCTGATCAGCTGTTCTTAAAACATAGTTATGCGATAATCGGTAAGTGAAACGCTTGCCGATCATCGCAAAGTGATGTTTTGCCATTTAAAACATCGTTATACGATCGAAAAACGATAGCAAAAAAACCGTCGCTATGCAGATTCATCGTTAACCGAGGCACTCGTTAAGTGAGGCACCACTGTACTTTGAAGCATATCTGCACCTCAAAATATTTTATATCACTTTAATTCCCTCAGTATGTTTCTGGGAATCATAGCATGGAAAGCTGACTAAAAGTCCTCTAATAAAGAAAGACCCTGCATTCTCATCAAGCTTCCCTGGTGTTCTTTGTGGAGTGAGAAGTACTCTTCCGTCAACTCAGGTCCACAATGCAAATATTCCCTAACTCAACTCATTTAAACAGTGGACATAATTGTAAAAGCAAGAGCAAACACTTCCTTTATCTTGCATTGATTCAGTAGTTCTCATGTTGTTCCCTGCGACAGCAAGGGAAGGCAACCTGTGACATGCAGCCTAATTTCAGACAATCTCTGGGAGTGATTTGTTTAGTTCACTGGACCAACAATCTGCTCATTCCCCAGCAGCCCAATAGATAGAAAGGGAAAGGGAAAGGTGGGAGATTCAGTAGAATTTATTCAGAGATGGGGAAATTTGCTTTTTCTGACTACAGCTCTTAGAATAGCGATGCTGATTCAAATGTCTTTGGGATTGCAGCCCAAAAAAGCAAATGTTCCCATCTTTTAGATTAGTACGGAACAAACATGCAAAGGGTCAGGCCACATACCAGCAAGCTGCTGTAATAACTTATCATGACAACACTTTTTTAAAAATCTAGACAGCTATGAAAAAAAGAAATAGATGTCATTGGTGGAATGTGTCTTTGTAAACAAGTGGTTAACCACTGCCTTTCTGGAAGTTTAAATGTAAGAAAATTATTGCAGGATTATCCTTTGCATCTATGAAGTATCAGCTACATTCCCACTGTTCTCATCTTCGAGAACAAGTCGACTACAGTGGGGCCCCGCAAGACAAATTCCTCACAGGACAAAAAACTCGCAAGACAAATGTTTTTGGCAATGGGACTGATGACTCGCAAGACAAATGTTCCTATGGCTGTGCTTCGCAAGATGAATATTTTCCGTTTTTTGTTCCTGCCTCATGTTTGCTGGTTTTTCAATGTTTTTCTATGATGCTTAAAAAGTTAACATTTTCAATTGAATTTTTTTAAATCATCTGCACAATATTTATGGCTTTAAACACTTTGTAAACCAAAATTGACTTTGTTCTGACTTTTTTTGCCCATAGGAATGCATTAATTAGATTTCAATGCATTCCTATGGAAAAATGCATTTCTCAAGATGAATTTTTTGCAAGACATTAACCGCGGAACTAATTAAAATCATCTTGCGAGGCACCACTGTAGACTGAACAGGAGTAAGAGCAAAAGAAGTGCAAAGAATAAACCCGTGATATGCACCGAAGCCACTAGTGATCTGTTAGTAGAAGAGCATATCTGCAATGCATGTTTTGAATTCAAATTTCATTCCAAATGCATGAGATACATTATACACAACCTTCGGAGCATTTTTTTCTACTTTACAGAACATATGGGATTTGTTTCCGTTAGCTCTCAACCCAAAAGCATGACAACATTGAATCAATGTGTATTGACCACTGCCATCAAAACATGATGAGGATCTGCAACAGCAAGGGCTTTTGAAAGGTTGTGCCATCATATGCGTCTTGACTCTGACATAAATTGCCCTTTTCTCCTCTTCTCTAAGTGTCACAGAGGCAAGAAAGTCCCAACATCAGTCATGTATCTCAAGGCAACAGCTTCCCTGTCGTGTACGCTTGCTTCAGAGAGAATTACTAGCTGCAAGGATGATCAGCCAGGCTTCTGGTGGCTTTTGAGATACAGCTTTAGGCAAAGAAATGGGAAGAACCAGCTTGAATCAGCCTGGGGTGGGTGGCCATGGCTTCAGACAAAGAGGAAGGGACTTGTAGATGTATGAGAAAACTGGGTAATATTGCAGCTTCGAAGGACAGTTATCAACCTGCAGATTATCAACCCCCAAACACAAGTCCCAGCAAGAAGCATCCCCTAGTAGTTATCAGAAAGCCAAGATGAGCTATTTATACAATCCATGCCATGCATGGTTCTCCTGAGCAATTAAGCAACAAAGGAACTATTTACATGTGACTGAGGTGCATGTTGGAATATTTGAAAGACCATACATCCTCCGAGCACACAAACACCTATCTATCCTGAAATCCACTCTCGGCAACATCCGTGAACAACCCTGAAGGGACCTCTTTCACATTAATATATGCACTCAACTGGAAGTTCTGCAGTAGTGTCACAAGCAGAGCCACTAACATGCTGGAGGCTTGACTGAATCCAAAATAATACTGGTTCTGTTCATCATCTCCAAACATCATTTGATACCAAAGCATTGTTATGCTTCATCACCAGCACCATCCTTTCTGATGCAATGTTTCCTGCACAGAGAAAAAGTCAACAGAACCATGCAGATTAGCAGTGAGAGATCTGACACATTCTCCCTTTTTCAAACCACTGTAGAGATCAAATAACGGGCTGCCAGGTGCCCATAAAACTGAGAGAAGAAAGGAGATGGGAAACTTACGCAAGGCATGCCACTCATCCTGGCGGATGGTCTTAGTAATATTATAGGTGAGATTCTTGGGAATTGTTGCTGAAGAGTAGTGGTACTTGATGTAGGAACACTGGTCAATGGCTCCTGGGAAAGGCAAGAAAGAACATGTAAAAGGCAATGTTATTTATGCAAGAATGGACCTCTCTTCCATTAAAGCAGGATTTCGTTATTCAGCGTGTGACATTAGGAAGAAGATTGCAGATGTTTGCTTGCTTGCTTTAACCATCCCTTCATCCTAAGCAATGCAATTTGTGATTCCAGTGTCACTGGAATACTAAATCCACTTTTGCTTTTAGTCTGAGCTCTACAGGAGCTCTCCACCTTTAGACCCATATTGTCCCCCAAACAGACGGACCACCTTGAACAGTTATTTCAAAGTTCATACAAACCCTGGTGTGGATTCACTGCCCCACTGATATTGGAACCATTAACCTCCATGGGTACTAGAATATCAGGACAATATAAAGGAGGTATAAAACCCAAAATATGCCACTAGTCCAATAAAGTCAGTACAGTATTCCAATAAGAACAAATAAAAACCAAAAGAAGGCTAGTATAACACCTACTAGTGCTCTTTTTTTTACATTTGTTCTCATTGGAATTCTGACTTTATTGGATTAGTGGTATACTTTGAGTTTTATGGACACATAATGTTCACCCTGACACTAAAGTGTTGGTGTTAGTAAAGCTTCCCCAGAGAAGTCATTCAAAGATTGGGTTAAAAAGAAGGCTCTTCACTAGTTCTTTCCTACACAGTGAGCTTCCCCCTGCAATGAAACATGGAAGAACACTTCCTCTGAAGATTGTAAGACATAGGAAGCTTAGTGTAGGGGAAGCCACTATGTAGGTCTCAAGCGAAGTTAGTGCTTTAAAGATAAACAGCAGTGTCTAAAATAGGTTCTTACTAGTAATGACTGTCCAGAACAGTCACTAGTTGGGATTGCTCCAGAAGTGGCTCACCCACAGTAGTCAGGAATCATTTGCAAAGGAAACATGGATACCTGGAGACCTAGCTACCATAGAACACCTGCAGAGTAAAGTAGTTACCTCAAGCAGCAAGTTTGGGGGGGGACTCAAACAATTATTCAAATTATTATTGTCAGGTCAACAGTAGGAGTTGTTGGAGTAGGGATTTCCTTTGGGAGCCGTAAACCTTGGTTGACCTTGGATACTAAGGGGGTTTGTCATTCAGGGCTTCAGGGAGAAAAAGTCACGGGTAGAGAAGAACTGCTATGGGGGAGATGCAGGTGATGGAGACTAGGCGAAAGCAACAAAGGTAAATACGCGCAAACACGGGATGCCTGTGGCTAGTTAGACGCTCAGGCTGAGGAGTATAGAAAAAGGAAGGTAAGAAAGGGGCACCACTCCATCAAGTCTGAGAATCTACTAGGCTTAGTTGACATACTAGCCAAATGCTATTGACATATGGAGAGTGGAATTTGCAATGGGAAAAGCAGATGAGTTTTTAAGGAGTTCATATGATATCAGTCTTTGAGTTTGGGTAGAACTAGCTTGGGAATTTCCCGTGAGAACCACCTCTTCAATCTGATCTACTGATTTTGTACCTTTGGTGGCAGGCATTGTGGGATGTCGCTAGAAGGAACGGACACCCACGCCTCTCAAAATCAAGCCTATTAATGCCATAACTAAGCATTTTCATGCATAAATCTTAACTCCATTAAATGTGCAATTTCACCAGGGCTGCAGTAATGTTACATGTTATTTATTTAGTGCTTTGAGCACCTAAGCCAAAGCTTTCCTTGTACATTATCCCAGCAATCCTAACAACAATTGTAACTAAGCCTGTATATGTGTAACAGGTACATAACAGTGTTTGATCTTTTCTACCATTTGCCTTTGTGAAAGGAACTTTGCAACCGCATTAGGCCATGAGAGTGCACTTGGCAGGAATACACCACAAAATTGGAGAGCGAGCAAAGAGTCATGCAACCAAATTACTAGTTACTACAACATAGGCGGGTTAGCATCTTCCCAAGTTACCGGAGGTGTTCATTGTTTGTTTTCTTGTGTGCTCCTAACATTCTGCCTTTGATAGCAATTAGATTAGACAAAGCCAAATATTATAGGGGAGAAAACCAAATATTTACATGTGCACCCGTCTGCCCTGACAGCATGCTGGGCTTTCTGTGTGCCTTCGCCATCTGGGTACCAAATGCACACCCATAATGAAAGTTTCCAACCAATAAGTGTACTTAAAAGAAAGCAATTGTGATTTTGCTGTCGCCGCTGCTGCTGTTAAGTGACTAAAATATTGCCTTCTGTGCAATAAGCCATTTATACTGTTGCACTGGTTTGAAAGATGTGAAACAATTTTTTTCCATTAAATCCCACCCTACCACCCACGCGTATTAATTAGTTTTGTTATTTTCATGATTTGGAGACCTGGACAGAAACACTGATATAAAATGTTCATTTGTGTGAAATTAATATGTTATGAGATACTAGTCCAGACCAGGCTATCTTCCAACAAGCCAGCTAAGTATACAAATTCAGATCTGTTAACAAAGAAATAGGAAAGGAAAGGAAAGGAAAAGAAACCAAACCAAACCTTATTCATTTTTATGTTTGGGGAGAAAACATGGCTCTATAGAATAGAAAACCATTATATAGGAACTTGACTTTGGGAAACAGAGACATTGAGCATTCTTTGATTTGCTGAAAGAAGTGGAATTAAGTGATGGTCAGTACCATGGACTGCAGAGTACTTCAAAGAAAGGAGACTTTTTAAGAGGACTGTAAATACTACCTTCTTGCCATGGCAGACTGAAACTAATTAAAGAGTTCCCCTTTTTTTACTTCAAGGTGCACAGGATTCCTCCACAATGAGATGAATGTGCATTCATGTGCAGAATCAAAAAGGGTGCTCTTTAATTAGCAGCAATCTGCCCCTGCCAGAGATGTCATTCCTATTGGACCACCAAAGTTCGACAAGAGGATACTGACCAATGAGTCCAAGATGTCCCCTATTTTTGCACTGGGTCTTTGACACATGGGTACATATACTAGCAGCAGAAAAGCTAAGATGTTGGGACACCTCACTGTTATGGGGAAGACACTGTCAAATATTCCCTACAGCATTTGTCATAGGTTGGCCTCCTATGGCCCTACAGTATCAGCACGTGAGAAATTGTTTTGAAAGCAGATGAGTATAATGGCAAGCTAAAGTTACTCATAATAATCCCACACCATCATTCTACCACTGCTCAACTATGGATGGTTTCAGCATACTGTTACATTAATTTATATTCAACATTCAAGCTCTGCTCCAGATGGTTCTGGATTGCAAATGGGCAATCCCTCACCTCTGGCAATGCTGCATAGGAATAATGTTCATTACAATCCAGAAACATCTGGAGACCCACAAGTTGCCCACCCCTATGTAGCAACCAACAATGACCAACATAACTTCACCACTTAAGACGCAAAGAGCTTTTTTGATAACTACCCATCCATTATGCTGGAACTTTTTAAACAAATATTTATTTATTTATTTATTT